TGGAAGCTCAGTGACCAGCTCTCTAAGCCTGTTTGTTCTAGGGCAGTGAGAGAACCTGTATCAAATAAAGTGTGTTTGGTATAGACTTGTAGACAAACAGGAATTTATATGCATATATTCAGGGACTTTTAATAATATCAACTGAAGAATCAGCAGATGACTGGGAAAGCAGGGGCAGCTAAAGAAACTGGAGAGCAGAGCTCTGGGTTGATCTCAAGAAGCTCCCACCCCTACAAGCAGGCAGCCTTCAGGTTCTCTGGAACAGGAAGCCCTGAGGGGCCCAGGGCATGAAACCCTGGCTCTTATATGCATGCAACATATACGTACACGCTCTCCTCTGTGCGTGCATGCACACAAACACACACAGGGATGTGCACGTGCCTGCATGCCAGCACATACAAGATTGAGGGGCGGGATTTGAAAAGAGAAAGATCACACCTTGGGTCGTGGAGCTGTCCTTGGTGCTGAATTCAATTGTCTCAGTTATAGTATGTGTCCTTAAGACAGACAACCTACAGGTAACTAATGTGAAATAATCCCTTAAATAAAACAAACGTGTTTGCTACTGGAGCACAGGGTGCAGGTGGGGTGCTGGGCATTCATGCCGTGAGACTAGAACGGGTGATAGCTTGTCCTTCCATTTTCTTTTTGCCTTCACTTATAATTCTTTGATCAGACTTATGTGTTGCTCTGGGCTCCAACATAAGCAAACAGTTAGACTATAAGATTCGACCAAAGTGACATTATTTGGAAAGTATATTCAGTACAAAGTTATAAACAGTGGCTCCACAAAGCACAGGGGAAGAAAACTTTATAAACATAGTATCCTGTCAGACAAAAACAAAATCAAAAAGCCATTTTTAAAAATCAGATTACCCTGGTCTGCAGCTTTGACGTGGATACCTTCGGCTCATCCACCTCTGACCGCCTAAGTCCTCAGAGCTCTGTACCCTGCTGTGCCCACGCCTGCTCTCTCAGTCTCTAGTTGTGGTTTTCTCTTCTCTGTGACAATTCATTCCGAGCACTGGCTTTATGAAAATGTTTCCAAGTGGAGAAGGGAAAATCGGGGTTGTAGAACAGCACTTGGTGTTCCCTGCCCTGCAGAAGGATGTATCTGTCATATCTATATTTGGAGTACACATCCATTCAAATGTTGCAGCCTGATTATTAATGTGGTCATAAAACGATCACTGGAGCCAAATCCTACAGCTTGGAAGCTCCAAGGGCAATTAGATGAACGATCACAGCACTGAACACAATGGATTCCATAGTCAGGAGCCCTGTGCTGAGAACGCTGCAGCCCTGAGTAGACCAGCCACGCGGCACCGGCCAGCGGTCTATGCTTCACCACCACAAGTTAATTCCTCACTGACTTGTTTGGACTCCAAGCATTTGATTCCTTTAAATGACAACAGGAAGGATCCTAAAGAGACCCTCAGGTAGCAAAGTCCTGAAAATACACCTCAGATTTGACTGAAAACAACACTGAGAATTTAGAAATATGGTTGTCCATGAAGTTTTCTAATAGCTGCAGAGTATCTCCATGCAAAGCAAATAAAACGATTCCGTGCTCTTTACCACCAGACACAGAGCAAAAGACTACATTCTTGAAGAATGAAATACCTACATCAGGCTGTAAGAGGCGGCAGGACAGCCTGACTGCCCACGTCGGCGAGCTCTGGGCTTGATTGAGAGACCCTGCCTCAGTGAAGAAAGTGAAAAGCAATTAAGGAAGAGAGTGGATGTTAGCACTGGGTCTCCCCCAAGAACACACACACAAGTGCACGGGTAGCTTAGCACACATGCCTCCACACCTGTTACACCTGGCCCCATCTCCATGCCCGTTTACACCGTCTACCATTGCCACACTGGCCTTGCCTTTCCTCCAGCACACATGCTACCGCTGTGGGTGAAAGTCTTGTTTCTAAAACTCATCCTGATCTCAATGAGTCACCGTGGTCTCATTAGGAATGCCACCACCTTAGACTCTGTTCCAGTTAGCTTCTGTGTCGATGTGATAAAACACTCTGACCAAATGCAACTTGAAGAGTAAAGGGATGATTTCATCTTACACATCCTGGGTAACAGTCCATCATGGAGGGAAGACCAGGGAGGACCTCACTAGAGATAGGAGCTGAAACGTAGACTGTGGAAGAATGGCTTGCTCCCTTTAGCTTGCTCAGGTACCTTCTTATACATCCCAGGTCCACTGCCTAGGGATGGTACCGCCCACAGTGGACTAGGTCTTCCCACATCCATCAGCAATCAACAGAATGCTCCAAGGCATGGCCATGGGCCATTCTGATGGAGGAAATCCTTCAGGGGAGGTTTCCTCTTCCCAAGTGACTGTACCTTTGTTATCAACTTGAGAGCTGAAACTATCTATGACAGGTCAGGACAAAGTCAGTCTTTATAAATTTGCTTTGTCCTGAAAGTCTCAAAATGAGAACATCATCTGTGCCCCCCCACTCCTGTACTTGTGTGGTGACCACATCCCTTTCCTCTTCTCCTTCAGAAAGATAACGACTTATCTTCATAATTACTCTTTCTCAGTAACCACAACAAAACCCAACACTTAGTAGGTACTTAATAACCACTTGCTAACTGACTATAATGGTGGAAATGTGTGCATCTTACAGGGTGATTAGGATAGTCTGTTCAGGAAAAGATTAGAAAAGGCAGTTCCTGGCTAAAGCATTCCAACATCCAAGAAGACAGTCCTCTTATGACTCTCTGGCACCTGAAGCCTTTGTCCTGTCATTGCCAGGTTCACAGACTATCCCAGGCTGCCAGTTACATGTAGTGAAAAGCATGGGTCCCACGATACACAGAAAGTGGCACAGAACATCAGAAGCCTGGGGTCTGATAATAATGAGATCCTGAACCTGGAGTCTCACTGTTTTCTGCTCTGTAAAACGAGAGGAGAATAATTAATTGGAAGACTCCAGGCAGTAATACAAGTGAAACCCTTAAAACTCTTTTACTGAGCTAAGAAGTGATGTGACGCTGAGGATGCCTGGTAGAGGTTGTCCTGATAATCTGGGCAGGAAGACAGCAAGCTTGAAGTGCACTGAGGAGTGCCCTCAGATAACAGGAGTCACAGCCAGCGGCGCCTTCCCAGGTAGAGTCTGGATGTGGCTTACGGTCAAGGAGGACTGTCACTTGCTTTCCTGAACCATGATTCATCCCCATTAGAACAGCAGCATGGAATGTCACTCCTGGGACATCATTGCTAGGATCCCACCCAGGAACAAGCCTAGGGGCAAGCCCAAGCAAATAAACTGGACGGAAAATGCCCTGTGCATATCCAAGGCTGGATAGGGAGGCGCCTTGACCTGGAGGACCACTGGCCAGAGAGGGACAGACCTGAATCTAAGCGGGAAGTCTAGGAGGCAGTGCATATCCTTGGGTGAAAAGGGCTAGGAACCAGAAATAGCTAGCTACGCATGGGGTAGGGCAGAGCGAGGTGAGGCACTGGTAGAAAGGCCAGATGTGGGTATCCAAAGATGCCCAATGTGGGACTCAACAGCGGACAACGAACAGAACAAGGCAGAGGTAGTAGGACTCCAATGCCTGCAAATGCAGCAAATCCCACGGACCCTCGGCAACACTTTGGGGCCAAATATAGTCACTCGATTAACAAACAAACTGCACCATAATCAAAGGTCATGTCCGCGTTTTCCGAGGCCCACAGAGACAATCTCGGCATCCAGCAGTCAATCCTTTTGTCAAATGTTTACATAACACCAAGTATAAATGAGGAAGCAAATGTTATTTTCAATTTGAAACCCATGATGCATCCACACAGTGCACACAGCAAAGGTGAGACAAGCACTGGCCGCCGCTGTTGACACAGCTGCTGTGCTCACTGTTGCCTTGCTGAGTGATTGTCCATGTGGCTTTGTCCCCAGAGTGAGGAAAAGCCAATCCAGGTGAAAGGTTTTCTCCCACCACCAACGTAAGGGATTCAGTATGTCCTGCTCAGCCTGTGTGTGAGGAGGAGCAGAAAGCCCACCAAAATGGCATAACTGAAAGAGAACACAAAGGACCCCCACACTAGGCTTTGGGGGTGAACTTGTCCAAGATGTATTGTAGGTAACCCTGATCTGCTGAAGAAAACCCTCCCTATCAAAGCAAAGCAAGGCTCATCGCAGCAATGACCAACGGTTAGCTGCTCTAATAGGAGACAGTCAGCAGCCCCTCCACACACAGAAAGAGGAGGGGAGAGCCGACAGAAGTCGTCAATGTCCTGCCTTCACGGGGCCATTACTCAGGTGACAGTTCACTTAGAGAAAGTACACAGAAGTCTCAGAACAGTCAGTCAGAGAGGGCAGCAGCTGCTTGCTCTATGGAGCCCCAGGGTAAATATACTGGGTTCTGCACACTAAAAGGCAAAACTATGAAAGAAATTATATACATTTTTTTTAATCACAATTCTTACATTCAAAATGAAACACTGTGGAGACACATAATTTACCCAATGTCACAGAAAGTACTCTTTGGATTTTTTCTCCCAAGCATTTAAAAATTTAAAATCCACGCATGGCATGCTAGATAAACCAGTTACAGGGATTGGGTTAGGAGTTTGGCCTCAAGCCCCACTTGGCAACCTCTGGTCTAGCAGGACAGGTGGTGGGGCATAAAATCAGGCAGGTGTGGGCATCTAAATCCATGATTGGTTTTTCCTCAAAGTTTCTTTAAAATATCATAAACATAAAGCTGTGTTGAAAAACCCCAATTCCCCATGCTTATAACAAAATCGGATTACGCACTTGAGGAGTGTATGTTCACATTCTAAATTTAATTTCAGTGTCATCTTAGCTGTGGCTGCTGTGTGGGCTGGGTACCATAAAGGCAGAGGCAGAAGCAAAAACGGAAACACATAAGAATCCGTGTCATGTCTAAGATCAGCGTTGTGAAAGCTGTGATTTGAAGCACTTGCTCGGTACAGCCAGTGCCCCCAGTCACCTTGTGCAATATCTCCTGTTCTTATCTTACAGGCTTTCGTATCGGACAGGGCAAGACACAGCTAACTGTGATACCTGCAGGAACAGCGCGTGCATCATCTATAGGTATGTCACCCCCCCCCCAACTTTGTCACTGAGTGACAAATGACGTTTACTCACAAATGCAAGAACCATCCGGGTCATGCTGGGAGGATTCTATCGGACAACAAAAACTAAAGGTCCCTCTTCGGCCATAATTCTAAGCTGTGTCTAACCTGTTTCCCCACCCCAGGTATACGATCCGAGGATGAAGGAGAGGCTAAACCCATTTATCTTGCAAACACACCTCTGTGGTTTGGGGAGCTGATTATCACTCTGATGGCTTGCTCCCTTGGAATCTATAGCCATGAGCACGGTACTGTGCTCTGACAAAACTGTAAAATATAAGCCCTTCAAATGGTATAGATCAAAGGTCTGTGTCTGGGCTCTGAATGCCAGGGAAGGCCCTGCTTGCTCACATCACACATGCAGTCATTTCCAGGAAACTTCCAAGGTCAGTGGCTTTCTCTTCCTCCACAGCAGAATCTGTTTTCAAGAAACCACATCAGCTTCCATGTGTTTTGTTTTTAATTTGAACTTGGTTTGTAATGACTGACATCTTCAAGAATAGATCAGAAACCTTTAGCAAGTAAAAGCTATCTTAGGCATTTGACAATAACTTAAGATATTAAGGCATGGTCAGAACTTTCAGAGAGGTGGATGGTGGGGTGATTTATACAAAATCTTACATCAGTGATTGGTTTTAGGGCTTAGTTCCTTTTTTAAAAAAATTTTAAAAAATAATTATTCTTATATTTTTATGTGTATGCCTGTATTGCCTGCATGTAGGTAAATGCACCCGTGTCATGCAATGCCTGTGGAGGACAGAAGAGGCTGTTGGATCCCCTGGGACTGGAGTTAGGGACAGTTGTTAGCTGCCATGTGGGTTCTGGGATTCGAACCCGGGTCTCTTCTGCAAGAACATTCAGTGTTCTTAACGTCTCAGCCATTTCGACAGCCCCATGGGCTTAGTTCATTTTTAAACATTAAGATTGAAGTTGGATGCTGAGGCAGAGCCCGTGTCTTGGCTGCTGTTAAGGGTGCTAAACCAAGTACATGAGTGCGGCTGTCTCTTAGACACACTGGTTTCCTTCCCTTTGGGCACACACCCAGGATAAAGCTGCTAGTCCTCACAGAAGTTCCAGTTCTAGATTCTTAAAGAGCCGTCACACTGCCTTTCCATAACAGTTGTGCTGACTCATGTCCTTACCAACAGTGCCCCCCTTTCCCACATCCTGGACAGCATGGGGCAACAGTGTCTTTGGGTTTTCACTCTTTACGGATTGAGGCAGTATCTCACCGTGATATGCATTTATGGATGGTTAGTGAGCATCCCCTCACCATACCTTTCGGGGATCAACATAGCTTTTGAAAAAAATAATTTTAGTAGTCTGTCAAAGTATCAAAAAACAGTTATAACTGAGTAGTTACATAGCTACAAGTATAGAAAGGAATCCCACTGCCTTCTCCATCCAAAAACGAAGTCACTATTCCTGCATGAAGAAGTCTGAGGGCTTCAGGGACTCACAGTCTCACACTCGTGGGCTCCTGTGCTGAGGGACAGCGTTTATATGACATGGCCTTCCAGGCAAAGCAGAGCTGGGTCACCTGGAGACCTTGTCAGAGAGCCGCCAGAAGAAACCATTGCTAGGGTAGGGCAGGAAATGGCCAGTGTGATGTAGATTCCCATAGGACAACTGGCAAAGTCTGAAAGGAAACACTTGCAGTGGTCCCACTGGGCACGCACGGCTGGTGTGAGGAGGTGGGAAGACGTCAGCGGTGCTGCTGATGCCCCGTAGTGAACAGGACTGCACGCAGCAAAATAACCACTGGATCCAAAACGTTGGGAGGCCTGGAGTTAAACCTGTCATATCCAACACATCCCCACATCACGGTTTTGTAAGAGGCACAAGCAAAAGCAGCAGGCAAGCAGCCAGGAAGTCTGTGATAGCCCTGGCCAGGGTGTGAAGCTGATGATTGCTGCTGGCTGTTACAGTGTGGAGGTGAAACTCAAGCACCATGCATGGCTTTCCTTTCCGGAACTCCAGGTTCCAACCCAGAGTAGCCACCTTTCAGACAAGCTTGCAGGTGACTCTCTCTGCTGTACTCACACTGTGGGTGGGAATTTTGAACAGGCAGTGAGGAAATGTAACCTGCACATTGGTAACGAGTTATATGCCCGTAACCAAGACCACCAAGAGGACCTTACTCAAGTCAGAGTTCGGCCTACTACCTCGGGAGAGTTCACCTAATCTCTCAGTGCGACAAGACTGAAGCAGCAAAGGTTTCCAGAGAAAGCTCATGGATAAACATGTTCAGCCCTAAACTGCTTAACACTTTGTGGGTGATTGACAAAAACAATCCATTATGATACTGCCAAACATAAATGAAATAATTTAAATAAACTTAGCTCTAAATCCAGGGTGACTTACATAAAAAGTGATATTAAACACAATTTAATGAGTCAGAGTAGGTTAAGAATTTGTCTCTGGAGAATTAGCCTGGAATGACTATTTTGAACTGGCTCGACCAGCATTCTGCTTGAATCCCAGCACATGGACCACTGGTCCCTTGTCCAAAGACTGGTGAGTGTCCAGGCGTGAAAAACATGCCCCAAACCAGAACAACTCAAAAGCAGAAAGACAGGGAGGCTGTCTGGTTTGTTTCTTACTCCTTTTAAAAACATCATGACCAAAAGCAACTTGGAGAGGAAAAGGTTTACTTGGCTTACAGATTAAGATCCTTCTTCGAGGGAAATCGGGGCAGGAGATCAAGTAGGAACTTGAAACAGGAACTGAAGCAAAGACCATGGAGGAACGCTTCCCCTGGCCTGCTCAGCTACCTTTCTTACACAACCCAGGCCACCTGCCCAGGGATGGTGCTGCCCACGATGGGCTGGGCCCTCCTACATCAATTTAAAAATGCCACACAAACATGGCCATAGGCCATTCAGATAGAGAAAATTCCTCAGTTAAGGTTCCTGTTTCCCAAGTGAATCTAGGTGACAAAGAACAGGGGATGTGTTTCTAGGCCAGAGGGACACATTTTCATAAACAGGATAGAGATGAGGCTCTTTGCAGGCCAGACACTACATCAGACCCTAGAAAAATGTACAAGCCCCAGAAGAGGGGTCCAGAGAAAGAGGAGAGTTCTATCACTGAAAACTACCCCTTTCACAGCAATATGGGCAGCAACAAAGATAAAAAAATCACTGGAACTGGAAATTTCTGTTATAAGCAGAAGTTACTTTGAAAAAGTTCTGGAATGTTCTGCATGTTAACAGTTCCGCTGGAGTCTCAACCCATACAGTCCTTATCCCAGTGACTCTCCTAACTAGTATTTAGTAAGACATCACTGTTCTTCCAAGCTCAACATACAAAGTTCACTCTCCAGTCCCCAATTCTGCCATTCTTTACTGGAGAGAAAACTCAACAGTAGCTGACTGATGTGGTGCAGAAATTTCTGGAAGTCCACACGAATGGTTGACAAAGGGAAAAAAAATGCACTGTGCTCAGTTAAGTAACAGTCCAGTCCCTGGGGAAATCATAGAGGTTGATGTCTATCATGCCAACTGTATCTGTACCGTTTAAGGTGTTGCTGGTCTTTTGTGGTAAGGCCTGGATATTTTCTTGGAATGTAGGTGTCACACCCCCACTGGAGTTTCAAGTTATCTTTCAAGAATCACAGCTGCTGTCCTTTCTAGCAAATGGAGCAATGCCTTGTGATAAAACATGCCTTCAGAATCCCATGGCACATACTGAAGTCCCTATTCTGTTATTTGGTATCACCTACTCTAAGACTCACAGAAAGAACTATTCTTTCATTTATCATTGGATTCTGCAAAATTCAAATAATTAGATCATTTCCATCATGAATATAAATGGCATAAAAAAAATCCAGGGACAAATACAACATCTTTTTTGCCAAGCATATACCTCAAGATAAAATGAGGGTCTCAGCAAATAAAGGAGGAAGTTGTGTCAGCTCGGGAGCCCCTTGGGGGTTTCAGTGATACAACACAGGGACGAGAAAGGGCGGTTAAGGAGGCACATCAGTTCAGGGTCTCATCTGAGTACGAGGGACTGGCCCACCAGAGGGGACAGGAAACTGACTGCCCTACTACAATCATCTGAGCAGAAGGGGAAAGTTTCACTCAAGGTCAGAGCCCTTGTGATTGGTCCAAAGTCTGGTTCTGGCACCAAGGAGAAGGGACTGTATTCTCGAATTCAGGACCTTGTCTGTGAATCTCTACCTCACCATTTCAACCTATCCATGGGTGAAGCATTCTGGGATTGAGCAGGCTAAAGCAGTTTCAGAATGTGATTTCAAAATGCTCCCGGGCTGGCTGGGGCTGGCCTAGAAGCCCAACTGCAGGGGAGGCTGTGACACTTCCACTGTCCCCAAGTTGTCGTTTGTCACACCTGCTTGTTGGCAGACAGAGAGCCCGAAAGGACAATGAACTTGACCCTGCCTGTCCTGTATTTAAACACTGGAAACCCAGCTGCCTTTCAGAAAAGGAAACACAGAAAAATCCCTGTGTTTCCAGGAGTGCTTGGCTCGGAGGCAGGAAGGGTGCTGTGTTCAAGACCTGGTTGCCTGTGATGTTACTGGTGAAGGTCTGTAATACACATGTACCTTTGCCATGGATGACAGCACATACTTCCTTATAAAATACGATTCTGCTGTGGAAATATTCAGGACTTAGAAAATATACCAAAAGGACAAAGGTGTTGAAGCACTTTCAGGAATGAAGGCTGCTAGGGAAGATTCGCCAGGCAAAGGTTGGAAACATTAGCCTGTCAGAGCCGGCCTCCCAGATCTGGTGCCCAGGGCCAGGGCTCAGCTGCTCCCTTTCTGGGGGGAGGGTATTCATTTGTCCCTTAAGTCCTGCAGAATCACACCAAGGTACGTTTCCAACTTGGAAACCCAAGAAGCTGGTTATTTGTAATTATAAAATAAAAATGGATCTGGTAGCTCAATCAGGGCATGTACATTGGGGGTAAATATGTGAACAGTCAGGAGGCATG